TTGCTGAAGCTGTAAACAACCAGACGTTCATTCCTGTAATGTTATCAACAGTGACTTGAGGCTGCAAGGCTCTTAGTTTAGAAGAGGAAATGGTGGGGGGATAGGGAAGGACATTTACAGAGACTGGGTGTGTCTCAACAAGTGTGAATTTAACAATGCTTCTCATCAGGCAAATTAAACATTTTACAATACACTTTCCCCCTTAGGTGCCCTCCTCTTCTGTTACTGGTGAAAACAATTCAGCAACAAGCTCATTAACTGAGGATCAGGTTCCTCAGTGCTTCCTTCCTGATCATTCCTTTTCCCCTCACACTTATATATGCAACATGCAGCTGTGGTACACAGTCAAGAATAAGGGCTTTAAAATGTAAGTGCTAGGAATAGAAGTTCCAGTCTGAATCGCTTCCAGCCCTAACACTTCTAAGTCTACAATAATTTAGTTAGAGCTGCAGGAGCACTAATCATGCTGAATTTATGTGTTCTTCTTTATGTGAATTGCTTCACTTTAAAAGCTGAAGGCATGTCTGCTATTCCCCTTCCCCCCACACACACACAACCCCGCACACTCTGTTCCAATTACAGGTTAATTTCCCAAAGTACCTTAGAGTACACATTTAGCTGCCCTGTCTTAAAATGTGTCTACATTACTGAGGTGCAGGGTAGGATTAATGCTCAAATTCTGAAGTAATTTGAAGAAGGTCAACAGATTAAGCCCCCTTTCTCAAAGCAGCTTCTCTTAAAACTGGCATTATGCTAGTTTTTTGCACAGATGCATCTCAAATTTCATGTGTACACTACATATGTATGTCTTGATATATGTATGCATATATACACATATGTATGTATATATACACACATAAAAAATAATCTGCATTGTGCCTGGTACTATTCTGTTCTAGTGGAAGTGAGGTAGAGGGGGAACAGAGCAACAATTAAAACTTGGTTCTCTTGGATAGATGTACATCTAACTCACAAACCAGAGGTTTCCACTGGAAACGTAAAAAACAGAGTGCTCTGTATTCTGTCAGTTCTCACATGAGCTGTGAGTCTCAGGGGTCTCTGTGGTAGCCATTGAACCTGACCTCCACCCAGGTAGGGTCATTTTAAATTGACTCTTGGCACATACACAAGAAGGGAAGGCAGAGGTAATTTGCTTTTGTCAGAGTTCTGCTTTGTTGTCATTTGGGGAAAATGTAACTTAAATAAAGAGGAAGATACAGAAGGCACTAAAACTTCCTTTTTTTTTTTTTAAGCAAACAGTAGGTGTGCAAATGTCAGCAGCAGGAGGAGAAAGGGCAAACAAGACATTGGATTGGGGAGGGGGGCCTGTAGGAAGTGGAGGAAGATGATGGGAACAGGAAAAAAAACAGCATAGCAGGAAGAGGACCAGAGATGGGAAAGGGTCAACACCACCAGTAGCAAAACAAGTACAAAATACTCCATACGTCTATTTCTTCTTCCCTGTGAATATTCTAAAAACCAGTGGTCCTTGCAGCATTCTACTCATTTCCCTATATAACATGGGAAACATCTCAACATCTGAACAGAAAAACACTCCACCTCTCAAGATGTCTGTGACTGCTTTCTGTAATTCCTTCCTCTTGCTCCAAAGTGACAGCCGGCTCTCTTAGAAGCAGCATACCACTGCACAGTGGTTTACCTTACACTTATATTGAAATCTGACAATCTCTGCAGATATGTGAATTTATCCTCCCCTACCTGCTCCCTTACTCTCTCTTTCATGTGTACCCTACAAAGGCAGTTGAGATGGAAGAGGTGTGCTTCACTCTTCATTCTGTCAGGAAGAGAGAGGACGAGAAAATTCTTCCTGAAATGAATGGAGCAATTCACACCTCTCAGAGCTGTTGTTTTAAGCTACATATATGTGTCAAGCCATATTCATTTCCATCTTGTATTCTCACTCAGTTCAGGACATCTGACTGCGATGAAGAGGTCATCCCAGACCTTTCTGAAAAGCCTTCTGTTTAAAGGTGAATTTCTTCTAAGTGCTGTATAATCCCCATGGTTATCTAACTGCCATGAAATCTGGCATGGTCATCAAGGTGGTGAGTAGAATTATTGTCCTAAATTAGGGGTCACTTGAGTCAAGAATTCCCAAAATACAGCCTTTAAAAAAAAACAAAACAAAAAACAAAAAACAAAACAGCATTTCTTAACATTGACCAGTTGTACCAATGTTTCCTTTGTGCACACATCTAGACTAAAACTGTGACCAAAAAGCCTCAGTTGCTCAATATTTACCCTAGCCATCAACTATCCCCTTGGTATTCAGAGTTTAGATGCTTTCAAAAATTTCAATTTCACACAAGCAGAGAATTAAATGCTCGAGACTTAGGAGGGTTACTGACCCTTTGAGTAGGTCTGAACATCTTCCATTCCTATATAAAGCCTGGGAAATCCTTTTTCTTCAGAATCCTTCTCTCTGCCCTTACTAAGTGTTCACAAGTTAGAAATTAATTGCAGGTAGTTCATTTTGAAAATTAGGAAAAGACAGCAAAGAAAAGGTAAGTCATAACTCTGGAAATAGTTCAAAAGGGATAAGAGGAAGGGGACAGGCTAGATAGGTGAATCGAAACCTTCTCCAGGCTCTGGTGGCAAGATTACAACAGCACCAATGGCTTGGGAAAAAAAGTATGCATATGTCTACTGAGCAACAGCAGTGCTATATGTGAGCAACTATGGAGTACCAAGTATCTGCCATACAAATGGTGCCTAAAATACCAATGACTTGGTGGAACAGGAAGAATATATAAAATGAAAATGGCAGCAGAAGAATCTAGGGACAAAAGTGAGTGAATGGGAGGGTCTGCAGATGTTTCTTTCCAAGTAATGCACCTTAGGTTTGTATTTTCCATGTGCTGGAAGCTGTAATACTATCAAGCAACCAGTAATTAAACTAATTTTCAGTGAAATTCTGTCATTACTATTTTGTCATTTCCCTTCATTTCTCAGGGGCTGACATTTTTCAGCACGGAGAAACTATTCATTTAATTCTCTAAGTAACTTCAAAAACAAACCATATATAATTTTACAAAAAACTCTGCATTAGTGAATAAAAGCAAAGTTACTGTGGAATGTGTATGGAAACATATTCAACTTTCATTAGAATGCCAAAGGTGTTTGTTATAGCTGGTGTTTTAAAACTGAATGCCAAATGAATTCATAATAATATGACATAACAGAACAGTTTGGAAATGTCTACTCCAAAAGTGTGTATACATTCACACACTTGCACACAATATGCAGAAAGTCAGCCTAAGTGATACTAATAAAACAGAACACAAATTCTGACAAGAAAACAAACAAACAAAAACACAAAAACAAAAACACACAAAAACCAAACTGACCAAACAAAAACAAAGAAAAGGGAAAAACAAAACCCCCAAACAAACAAATAAAAAAAACAGTAACTGAAAGAGGTAATCTAACTAATAGCTACAAATATAAAACCAAAATGGAATTCTGGCAATTCATTCAAAGAACAGCTGTTCCTTGAACTTTATCTTCTTACTCAGATATTGCCCATAGGAAAAAAACAACCCTACATTCAAAGTTAACCAGAAGCAACAAGCTATTAAGTAACTGATGTACAGATGGCAAAACAGCACACTCACAAGGTACCAGAGTACATCAGACAAAGGCTCATACTAAATGAACTCCAACCAGTAAGTCAACATGAACCAACTTCAAAACTAAGATTATGTGTCAAGAATGTAAGAGCTCAAATGTAGGTCAAACAATTAATTATGGCCTTTTAGGGGGCTCAAAACTTCTAGCAAGAGAGGATTCATCTGTGCTATTACAATCCATTTCTTATAGCAATAGAAGTAAAAGAAGAGGTCCAAAAGTTAATCAAGAACAGTTGTACCACAATTACTTGAAAATCCAAAGTCACCTGGTACTTCAGTTTTTCATCAGGGCAGGACATCTGAAAATGGACAGGTAAGACGGAGGCAAAAGTACAAGTGCAACAGTCTCTAATGAAAGATGATTCTGGCTCTCAATATCGGAAAAATGTGTGGGGTTTAGGGGGGAGGTGTGGATGTGCTATTGAAACTCTTTTTCTTGGATGGAATTAAAAGGGAAGACTTCTGATTTAATGTTCTGAACCCCTCCCCTTCTCCTCCCTTAAAAAAATTGCATGAATGATAACTGTTATGCATTTCTTGACAAGGACTCATACAGGCCAAGTGTCAAAATGATAGTGTGACAGTACATACGTTGCCTCTTCTGCTCATCCCCCAAAGTACGAAGTACTTCTGAGGGCTTCCTTGGGAAGGTTTATACAGATTAGTTTTTTCTTCTGTTACTTAAATTTATCATCCTCTCCATTAAACAGAAGAGCATCCCACAGAAATAAGGGCTTCTCAAGCAAAATGAGGAAGATAACTAAGCTATTTTAATCTCTCAAATAAGGGGTTTTTAAGATTCCTCCTATATAAAATTTAATTTAAGTATTTAATAGGTTGATTCCCAAATAGAAAACTAAACACATATCCTTTTGATTTCAAAAGGATTGACCCAGGGAGAATCTGGGGCACAGAGTACCACAATACAGAACCAGCAGTAAGGGAGCAGCAGCAAGTGGAACTCCCTTGCATACGGAAACATTCAGTGAAAACTTTAAAACCCCAGTCACAGCAAAAGCAAATGGAGCTTCAGCACTTTTTTTCCAAGAGCTACATTCATCCAGGAAGCAGAAAGCACTAGTTGTTTCAATAAAATTCAATTTAATGTTAAAAAGAAGTTAAAATGGTTTCTGAAAACTTAAATCCATGATCTGGCTTCTTGTTAGTCCACACTATAGTCTGTGAGCAAAAGGCAGTATATTGAACATCAGTAAGCTCTCTCAATATTTATTTTAAAAACTAGAGTATCTCAGAAGAGTAAAATAGAATTTTCACATGATGAGAGCTTGTTATACATGACTATTTCGATTAATAGATTAAATGTATTTTCTTCTCCTTTAATTAACTTACCGGGTTGATAATACGTCAATAAGTTCTCTTCTGTTCTGGACTCTGAGTGCATTAGTTTGGTATCTAGAATCTTTACTAACTTCAGGCAAATTCAAGACCTAAGTAAAAATAAAAATAAGTAAAAAATGTGCTTGGTAGGAGATATTTACATAGCTAACAAAATAAACTACTGATTTTAAAAAATACACTGATTTACAATAACCACTACTTCTCATTAATCTTTTAATACAGATAAAGAAATTAAAAATTAAATCAATTTTTAATGCCTCCTGGTTAACATTACATAAGAAGTAAAGAAAAAGACAGAAATTAAACTGAAGATCCAAATCTTAGCTGATAGCTTTCATGATTAGCTAGGAAAAATTCTTATTGTAGAACACTAAAAAATTGGTAATCTGTGGGATTATCCTGCACTAATTTATATGCCACAGAATAAGATGTCTGTACTTCATATACTACACTAAGAAAAGCTGTGTCTAAGAATATTTCTTTTCACTTCAGTAATCTTCATCAAAAAGAAAAGTCTTTTTCTATGGAAACATCTTTTTTATTATTATTATTTTTTCCAAAAGAATTAATAAAGAAAAGTAGTGGTATAACCTCTAAGAAAGGAGAAATATATCTTCTATATTTAACTGCCACCTGCCACATTAGAAATTTAAACAACATGCAAAGACAATGTGAATTATTCTATAAAGGGAATTAAATATGCAGAATGAGTCTTAGAATTTTGTAGACAAAGTGTGGACAATCAACAAAATTTATCTATTTTTGCCACAATGTCTTTCTATAGAACATAAATAAACATAATTAATTGTGCTTTCTAAATTTAATAAAAAATACCTCAATAACACCAGCTACAGAGAAAGGTAGCATAGAATCTTATAAAGGAAGAGATTTTCACATTTTCTTCATGTATTTTACTCACTAGCACACAATCCAGATCAGTTTTTCTTATGATGATTCTTATAATCATTCTAAACGTACTACACTTTTTTACAGAGCCGCATCTAAGATGGCTTAAAAAAAATATAGTGGCTCAAACTGGAAGTCCCTATAGCCCATCATCCTATCTCTGCCTGTGTCTGAGTGAGGATGCTTAGGAAGGGCTTAAGAACAGGGCCAGTACATACAACACTTCCTTAATCTTCATCCAAACTCCAGGTCCCTTTAGATTAGGTCATTTCTGAGTTGCAACTGTTTTCTATATATTTAGTAATTATCAATGGATTTCAGTTGTATTAACATGTTCAGTCACTCCTTAAATCCATATGCCTACATACTACCACAGAAGTAAACATAAATTGGTGTCAATCTCTTCAGTATTTGCCTCAAACATAACATTCTACTAATTCCTCTGACACTGGTTTAGACCAAGGCTGCTATTATTTAATGACGCCTAACTTTGCTGGAGTGAACAAGCATATGGCTTCCCTTACAAGTGAGTAGCTGCTGATGACATAAAACCATCAGCAAAACAGATATTCTTTCAACGGATATTTAGAGATATTCAAAACAGATAGTCACCTTTGACATAGTTGTCATGCAGAGTGACAAAACTAAGCATGGAAACCAAGGTATCCGTAAGTTATGCTATGACGATGATGTTACATAACTTCACTGCAAATTTTTATCTGCAATGTAACATAAAACATCAATCTAGCATCTTCCATCAATACTTAATTCACAGCATATTTTCTTTTTCTTCTGTGTTTATACAATCTAGTTTATGAAAATCATAACGTATCATAATTTAGCTTCAGAAAATAGGTAAATTTTCCTATCTGGAAATTTATCAATAATATTGTATCCCTTAAAATTATCTCCTTTTCTTAATACTGCTATTTTGGAGTTACGAATCACTGCTATAGAAAAAGAAAGTCATGCAAGGTTGTTCAAAGTAAATTATAGTGAATACTTATTTATGAGAGCTTAAAAAAACTAGCAATTAATCAGAAAACTATGGTTCCATTTGATGAGTTATATGAAAAAATGATCATATGGAGTTGCTCACTCTGCTGTTTTAATTAATGTTACCGACTTCAGTTTTAACTTAATGTCCATCTGTTGTAAAGCTGCATGTCTATATATGTTCTCAATTTCTGGTGACTAACAAATGTACACTTGAGAAGTTATTCATTAATGTACCATTCATCTTTCTGCATCATGTTTCCAATGTTATTTCTTTATTTCACTTTGACCATTTGGAATGAAGCTGGTGTTCTCTATTTGAGGATTTGTTCAAGCTCTAAGATGCACACCCAGAGCTTATGCTCTCTGTGTTTTGCCCCATTAGCAAACCTGTTTGTACACTCCTTTGCTGTACACAAAACCTCAGTCTTCTGAAGACTTGCTCAGTATTGGCTATTTAGACTGAAGCAGCCAGAGGTCAGGATGTGCTATTGTAACACTTGACCACAATGAAATGCACTCCAGCCAGCAGGGTTACAAAGCTTTTCTGCAACTATCCAAGTCCTCAAAAAAGCTACAGTTAGTTGTCACTGATTTTGAATATATCACAGTGAATTATTCCAGACTTTTCTTTCTGCTTGCCTGAAAAGATACAGTTGAAGCAGAATGTTTGCAATTGTTTACAGCTTGAGCCAGCTGTTACATTTCTAGAGTATGTGTCTTCAGGGCAACAGCTTTCATACAGCCTGTATTTTTAGCATCAACTCACCTCAGAGAGATTCTCTAATAGCAATTCCAATGTTTGAATTAATGGTCTCTGTATGCACTGAAGTTCATTAGGGTGTGGAGGGCCTTCCCATGATAAAGTTCCTTTCCTTTATTGGCTCTCCCTCTTCAAAGTGTTTTAAGTTACAAATCAGCTTTGATTTAGCACAGAGCATACCTCTAATGGGTATGCTGTAATTTTTAAAAATGCTGTCTAATGCTACATTCAAAAATTCTCCTGTCCTAGCTTACTGGGGTCTTTTATTTGGAATGTTGATTCATTCTATTTAGAACATTTTTTTTTTATTTGAAGATTTGTTCTTCAACATCGTATCTCTGCACCACTCCAGTCAGTCCACAGTCCTGTAACATTTCTTTTCTAAGAATTTCACAAGTTTCTCTGCAAGGACAGACCAGCACATACTAGTGTTCGAAAGGACCGCACACTTGGCTACTGACGAAAGTCACACAAGAACAATCCATTCCCTAGCTTTGCTTTGTTAATACCTGTGCCTACTATGTATTTTATGGAGAAACAGTGCCACATTTCTTCCTGAAAAAGGCACTAGTGTGAATCATGACAAACTGGAAGGTTGTTAGGTCGTTCATTTTTTTAGCTAGTTAGATGTGCGCAGACTCCAAAAGGGGCACAGTACCCACAAGTTTGGGAACTGGGGTGTTCTGAATTCGGAGGCAAAACACAGAACCCATAACAGACCCCTAAATGATCAGAACTGCAGGGTTAGAATTTATACTCACCACTTTCATTCCAAAAACAAAAGAGAAAAAAACTCCAGGAGAATAAAGAAGCAATCAGCATCTTCATTTTCCTAGTCAGAATGGAAACTATTGCACATTATTTGCCTAACACACCTTGCACACAGTGACAAACTGATGATCATTTCCAGCTCCCACCACTATGTAGCCATCCTTGGTCTTAAAAGCCTGGAAGAACAAAGACAGGTGATAAGCTGTAACTAAACAATAAAATATTAGCACATGTTTGAAGTGAAACTTTGGAAGTAATGTTCAAATTACTTTCCTAAACATTTCCATTCAGATCCACTCTCTCGTTCTATAAAAGTGGTTCAAAGGCATCCACAAAGATGGATGTAGCCCTTTTGATTTTTTTTCCTAGAGTTAGGAAGTTATCTTCATTAACAGTTTATTTGCTGAAAATGTGCCATGAGGCACCCTGAAACTTTGCAAATATGACTCACACTCACAGGGACTGAGAAGGATTACCATGATAATGCTTCATTCAAGGAGGTACTTATTCAGCTTCATTCTTAGCCTGACTCAGAGCAGAGAGATGCACCAAAGTGTCACAGACCCTGACCAAATGTGGCAAAAAATAATTGCCAAATAGCAACTACAAATTAGAGCTCCCATGAGACCGAAAAGGATAGACTGCATTTTTCCAGCTCTTTGGCTGGAGAATAAGCTATCTCCTTGGTCAGTGGTCTCAAGATTGAGTTCCTGGAGGAAATGGGACTTCTTTTCCAGCTTTGAGGATTTATTTTTACTTTTGACTTCATTACAACAGCCTTACTGGCACATTTCATGGTGAACAGAACATTTAATTGGGTAGGACATAACAGCCTTTATTTCAGTCTAAACATCTTAACTTAGATTTTCACTGGAAAAAAATAAAATCAGTAATTGGCAACATCCTCAATTTTTACAATTGTGTCAGGTCCTCTTCTAACAACAGATTTCTCTTTTCTCCATAGCTCTCCCTTATACAATGGTGTATAACTGCAGTTTCAGTCATACATGTTACTATCACAATTTTTGCAAACGATTGGGAAAATTCTTTCACTATTAATTTGACTTCAGTGTAAGAGGCCAGCATAGGCTGGTGCACTAATGGTGACGAGGCCTTGAGACACTTTCTTGAAGAGTGCAAAACTCAGCTTCTATTCCTAGAAATCTTTTTTTTTTTTTTTTTTTAATGAGCTATCACATCCTGATTTAAAGGTACGAATTCTTACAATAAATTTTGGTAAAATAACACATAAATATAAGTCCCGGTGTGGGAACACTTTAATAATTAAAAGTCTTCTCATACCACTGCGGCTTATTCTTCTTCACAGAGAGAATATGCTATCTCAGCTTGCAATCCTTCATACAGATACAAATACTTTCACTAAGACTCTTACCATCTGGTATAGTCAAAGTTTTAAAATTGTACATGGACAATTATGCCCACTGAAGTGCAAGTAACTGTTCATCATAGTTAGAATATCACTTGTTTGCTCTTGCTATGTCTCATTTCATGGTAAATAGTATTGGTCAGTGATGAAGCTTAGCAATTTATTTTTCACACATTTAATTAAGTACTTTGGTCTAAGATTCTTAGCAAGTAAAGATGAAATTCGGCAAACATTTAGTTCCAAGCATGCAAAAAAGTACCACAGATTTAGCTCAAATATAGTAAAAGTTTAGAAACACGCACAATATAAAGGTACTGAATACTCACGCTGAGGAAAGCAGTGAGCACAGAAAAAAATTGGGGAAAAGAATACAAAAAATAAAGTTATATGTGAATACATAAACATATCTTAGATAAATCTGTTATCTGATAAAGACTTCTTTCTAAAACAATCATGACAGAATCTGGTCCAAGAATATGTAAGACACTCTCCCCTAATAAATGGCTTTTGGTAGGAATAGTTATGAATTGAAAGTGTCAGTACAAACTTACTACCTTTAGTTATAGGCAATATGTTTTCTGAACACCCTGCCCAAATTCTGACCTGTCTTTGCTGATGCTCTGAATTCTAAAATCAGCCACATGAACATCACACAAATTATGCGTTAAATACTATATATATCAGTGTGTATATGTAACATAATATATTGTGTTACAAATTATTGGTGTGATCACCTACTACTTCCAGTAAACATAAATTAGAATTCTTTTGTACATTCTTTTAAACTTCTAGTCCGGATGCCTGTTACAGATTGCAAAGCCTACAATGTATGTCATATGTACAGACCTCCTTCCTCGCCATCCAAACTATATTTAGATTGCGCATATGGGCAAATCTTACAGAGTTTATTATTTATCAGCAACTTCTTTTGAGACTCACATCTCTGTAAGAATGCTACATACCACTCTGAAACATGCATCTGTACCCACCGGCTACCCATGCAGCAGCGGAAGCACTCTAAATTTAAGGGCCTGGTTATTAGCATGTGTGCTTCAGTTGCTTTGTGGAATGTGTGGGAAAACTGATTATTCTTAATTGCACTGTATGTCTAAAAAGCTAAAACAACAATCATGTCATCCTTACACAACAAAAATGGTATCATAATAAATGCAGCAGTGTCTTTTTCCATGAAGCTTAACTCAAATGTCTTCAGCTGCTATTTTAAGCTTCCCATTACAAAACAGCTGATTATTTGCCAGTCATTGCTGCTGATAAAGCAGAAACTTCCAAATGTTGCTAGCACAATATTGATGCCAACATTTAAGTGTGACAATGGTTTTATTCATTACTCATAAATGTACGCACATTACAGGTTACCACAGGTTACTGTCTGGTCACAGGAAGCTTCACAATCTTATTGTACAACGGAGAGTTAAGGGCAAAGTGCAGACAGATTTTAATGAGATTTTGTTTTGATAAACTGCTGTCCATCACATCGAATCATTTCACATGAGTGCAACAAAAAGGCACTACACACACAAGGCAAAAGTCTTTTTTCCCTTCCTTTTTTTCTGAGAGAATGAGGCCTTCCAATAAAATTCTTGAAAGCACAAGCATGAGTTAACCTGCTCCTCCCATGTGGTATCCTGAGCAATAGCATATCATTCAGTGAAAACAAGAAACAAATACCAAGCAAAAAATTATTCCACATCTTATTCATGGAAGAGGCAGATTGTGAGTATCCAAAGATGTAGCTTTTCAGTGAGATGCAAAAAACTTGAGCGTTTCTAAGATGATATGTAAATTCACAGTGAAAAATATTTAGTATATGACATCAACACATGCATGTTCAAAGACAGATCTCAAGGTCCAGTGGGCATGCCTCAACAGCTCACACTGTCTAATGGATGTTACAGGACCTCATTAAGACCTAGCACTTTTCCAGATTTGATCCCAGAACACTGTGTATACCTGAGATATTTTGTGTACTGAAATATTTTCATGTACCTAAACACATGGCACATAAACTCTATCTACTTTCAGAAATATTTGAAGTTGTTTACGAGTATTCACCAAATATGCTATATAGATTAAACATCATCGTATATGTTTCAGTTTGAATGTTGATTTCACTAACAAAATTTTAAAATGTAAGGGGCCAGTCAAAAGATATGGCAATTCCAATAAAATGATCAGAAGTCCAGGTCAGTTATCAGTATTTGAATCCAAACCACAGAAATCAAAACAACCAGAACATCTCCAGCTATGTATGGTAATGCTTTACTCCCCTATAGGTTAAACAATCCCAGTTCTCTCAGTCTCTCCATATATGAGAGATGCTCCAAGCCCTCAATTATTTTTTGGCCCTTCACTGGACCTGCATGTATGAGCATATCCTTGTCCTACAAATACCAGAAGTAGACACAGTTGTGGACCCATAACTGGATCCAGCAGTTATTCATCCTCAGTGGTGCTGAGAAGAGGGGAAGGATCACCTCTCTCAACCTGCTGGCAATCTCCCCTCCAATACAGACCAGAACCATTTCTTTGTCACAGGGACACATTGCTGGCTCACGTTCCATTTTGCGTTCACCAGGACCTCCAGGTCCTTTTCTGCAAAGCTGCTTTCCAGCAGGTCAGCCCCAGCCTGTACTGATCCTACCACGTGCAGGACTTTGTATTTCCCTTTGTTGAATTTCATTAGGTTCTTCATAGGCCAACTCTCCAGCCTGTCAGCCCCTTGAATGGCAGCACAACCACCTGGTGTATCAACCACTCTTCTCAATTTTGTACTTTCCACAACTTGCTGAGAGTACACTCTGTCTACCACTCAGATCACTAATGACCTTGTTAAACAGTACTGGCCCACTGTACTACCTGGGAATGCCACTAATCATTCACCTCCAGCTGGACTTCATGTCACTGATCGCAATCCTTTGAACACGACAGGTCAGCCAGTTTTTATTGCACCTCAGTAATCTAAATCAGCACTGTTGAGGGAAGGTACTTTGTAATCTACTCTCAAAAGCTATTGACAAATCACATCCAGCACACAATGAAATATAGCCTCTAGCCACCACCATTACTAGGCAGCTTCCCAGTGCCACCAGGATTATCAAGGTTAAATACAAAGGATACAAGTGCCACACAGGTAGAAACTAGATGTCACTTTCTCAGAGACATCATAGGGAGATGATTTTGGAAGCCAAACAATACTTGGAGAGACCAATAGCATGGGGCTTTTGAAATTGGAGGACTATTCCATATTTAGGAGACATTAACATCTTTAATTATTTGAACAAACTACTGATTATTTTCATTACCAGTTACCATATTGGCCTGTTTACTGATAATGGCAGTGAATGGTCGAAATATTTGAAAGCTTAAAGGCCTCCTCTTGGAGAAGGATTTGCACTACATCAGATATGGTAAAAGGGATACACTACTCATCTTTATGAGTTTTCTTATCTCATGTTCCTTTGTGAGTATCAGTTAGGATCTGTAGAGATGTTTGCAATCCCTTTTCATTGTGAACAGCTGATGTTAGGTACCCTCAGATTTGAAGTATCTTGCAAGACAGCACTGCCTTTTGATTCACAAAGTTGAAAAGCAGCATCCCTAAAAGCATCCAATAATGGCTCATGAGGAGAACAGCTGAAGGTTTTCAGATGGTCACTATGTATTGGTGAGTTCTGGAGCAGGACTTACCGGGTAGTAACTTCTGCATGTCTTCTGATTGCTGTTGGTTTTACAGAGCAACAGGCTGATTGCTTCAACTGGCATCGTGAA